GCTGTTGAGGAAGTATAATTCTTTTTGATTAACATTTAAAATGTGCCCTCCTCAGGTTCAGCAAGCTGCTTTTCAACATCTAGGACTTATGGGAGAAGAAAAGAATATATGAATTGGAGCTGTTATGAAAAATCTACGGTACAAGGTCATTGTAACCATTAAATACATGAAAGTGAATAATATCCTAGTCAAGCTCAATTTCTTGCTTTAATCTCTGGCTCTTATTTCTAACAATAGTTTTAAGTCTCAGTTTTAGAATTCTCAATTTTCTCTTGGCCTGAAATGCCCTTCTATTTTTTTTTAAACAAAAAATAGTTATTGTTTCTTGCTCTAATTCAAGTTCTATCTCTCTCATGGAATCTCTTACCTCCAACCCACCTAAAACTGTATGTAATCACACCCTCTTTCCATAAACATTAAGACTTCATTTCTATCAGAGAATTAAAAGTGAATTACATGACCAATATATAAAACGTATCAACATATTCCAGAATCTCATTTTTAAAAAGTATTTACAACCACTTTCTACTTTCAATTTATCATTATTTATGCACATTTATACTCCTACAGGCTATAAATTCCTTGAGGCTAGGATTATTTTTACTTGACACCTTTACTAAGATATAATTCACACATCATACAATTCACCCATGTAAAGTACACAGTTGTTAGCATATTACAGAGTTGTATGACCATCATCATTGCTTTAGAGTATATTCACCACTCCCCCCCCAAAAACCTTGTACCTGTTATAAAAGTCACTTTACGTCCTCCCTATTTCCTGAGCCCTAGGTGACCACTAAACTACTTTGTCTCTATAAATTTGCCTATTCTGGACATTTCATATAAATGGAATCACACGATACATAGTCTTTTGTGACTGGCTTCTTCCATTGATCATGTTTTCAAGGTTTACCCACGTTGCATCGTGTATTAATACTTCATTCCTTTTTACTGACAAGTAATATTGTTATACAGATATATAACATTTTATGTATCCACTAATCAATGATGGACATTTGAATAGTTTCCATTTTCTTGAGGCCAGGGTTCTTAATTCATCTGTTTATTTCACGCACCAAGTCTTGGGGCCTCGCCCAGAGGTATGCATTCAATAAATATTTGTTTAATGAAGTGTACTTGTAATGATACTTAATGTTCCGAGGCTCCCATGGCTCCTTTTATGTGAAACTCATCAGTTCTATTGGGTAAGCAGCCATGTTTCATAATCATACAGAGATAAGCTGATCAGGAAATTGCATCTGACACCAGGATAACTAATCCACAATGTAGCAGATAATCTGTAACCCAGCAGAAAAAGATGAGCTGGGCCAGAGTCTCTTTCTTGGGAATTTGACTTTAGAGATTCAATGTCAGTTAGCAATAATTGTCAACTGAAGAAAATGATGAGGTTCATACATTTGGAAAGGAGAACTTCATTTCTCATAAAGGGTTACAGCCTGCAGGGTGGCCATACTGACAGGCTGGGAAGCAATAGCCTAGGGCAGAAGCTAAGAACATGTACTTGGAGGAATGGATGACCAGAACAGGAATTTATGCTGAGCAGAGTAGCTGAATATACATATTGAACAAACTACAGGAGGAGTCATGAATATTTATGAAAGGACAAATATGAACATGTGCAATTGTGTTCTATGCAGCTTCATGGGATCCATGTTCAGAAAATGGTGGCCTTAGCATGATCCGAGGGTGGAGTTTTCAGCTCTCTAACATCAAACAGTGAAGCAGAGGACATGAAAACCCTCTCTGTGCATCCTCTGTAGACTGGTCAGAGCCACTCCATGGCCGGTGGCCTCTTATCAGGAAGGAATACTGGTCAGTTATTGTGCCGAGATTGTGAAAAGGAGGAGCAGCGTTAGGAGGCTGATTGAAATCAGCAATGGGGCAAGTCGTTCCAAAGGCTAGTTATTTCATTCTTAGGGAAGAAAGCCTAATGGCAGTTAATAGGGGAGGAGGTATAATGAAGCATGTCTGACCATCCATCCCATTATGGCCAGGAACTCACTCAGTTTTTTTTTTTTTTTTTTTTTTTTT